TTTTTTTTTTTTTTTTTTTTTTTGCTTCTTTTCTCTTCTGAGCTGTGTGTTTTTTTTTCCTCTGTCATTTTTTCTTTTTTCTTTCTGCCGTCATACATGGAATTCCCTGCTTTAGCATTACCTGGAAGGAGCAAATTACATTATTCTAATACCTGCAGCCTGCTACAGAGCCATTAAGGTAACTACATTACCTAATTGAGAAAATTGAGTAACACAAGATTTTGTTATTATAACCTTTGTCCTCAAAAATGTGAACTAATATAGTCCAGCTGCTAAACTGGAAAGCAGCCATTCCGTTTTCCTAAAGATCATGATTCACAGGACTGCAGAAAAGCAGCTAGGCCAGCCTCTGGGGTTAGTGGTCTCCTGGAACATAGTACCTGTGCATCTGGGAGGCTCCGGGCTGCTTTGCAGCTGCGAAATTTCTGCCACCTAAACTGCTGATCCTGCCGAGCTCTTTCCCAACCAGCTGAGCCAGCTTCCCTAATTTGCTGAGAGACAAGCACAGCACCTGGGCAAAAGCACAACATGGGAACTGGGTTACCACATAGGGCTCAGCTTTGTAGGGAAGTACAGAGCCTAACACAGAGCCTGGTAGCAGCTGTCCCCTCAGCCTTTGACCAAGTCATGAGGTCAGATGGTAAGGTCTTGATGGTCATTGGGTGTATATATATACTTTTTGTTTTAAAGTGTTGTGCAAAGGAAATGAGCTGTCAACCTTCTGCCTGCTTTCAAGTGACTGTGGTCTGAAGGACCTTTGGTAACTGAACTATTGATAACTTGGCATGAATATTAATCATGACCTGTACTCTTCAGAGATGCTGTAATGCTTTAAGCTTTGAATGCCCACTCTCTTTACATTCAACAAATCTTTTCAGTCTGAGCTGTAAAGAACAACTTGGGTGAATATAGTCCTGGATGCCATAGATTGAAAGTGTTAGTTTAATAAATTTAGGTAAGCTTTGTAACTGCTAACGGAATGAGTTCATTATATATCTACACACATAGTTGTGCACGAAGGCAAAAAAAAGAGTTCCATCATTACCTAAAATCTTGGCAATTTGAAAGCAGAGATGCTAGAAGAACAGTGTATGCCAGTTGTCCAGACAGAGCAAGAAGTAGAAAGAGGACTCTGTGATACTGCAGGCAGCAGAGCTCACTTGGCTGTGAAGGATGTGCATGCTCTGCTCCTTTGCTTCCCAGTGGCTTTGCTACCAGCCAGCACAGTTACCTTTAAGAACTTCATTGCAGCACAGTCCACGTATTCCTTCTGTGATACGACCAGCTGCAGGAAAGATAAAGGTTGCCCAAATGAAAAAGCTTTTTATAAAGAGTTACATCCTTTACAATCAAGTATATTTGCTTTGGGTGCTTTGAGAGAGAGTTCTGAGGTAATTTTGAGTAATTCTATATAATTAATCTGCATTTTTCACTCAAATTTAAAGATATTAGTAAATCTAAATCTTGTTTTAGAGCATCTTATCTGATGATTTTCAGATTAAACTTTTCATCCCTTCTGCTAACAGTGTGATGCAGAATACATGAAATGTTTGTATATTGTTTGCATGCAGAACGTGATTTAACTTTATTGGTTTCTGATATGCATTTTAATTAGGGGGAAAAAAACCCTTTTTGCTTTCCTTTCAGTGCTGTGGTGCTTGCTCTTCTCTTTCCTCCTTTTACATACGTATATTTCTTCTTTGGCGTGGCTCATGGCTTGTGCTCCAGTGCTCCACATGGAGCACACTGTCATCAAAGCATGGAGGGACACTTGTGTGATTTTAATCAATTTTTTAAAAAGAGGTAGGAATATGATCTTTCTCGTACACTCATTATCTTATATATTCAATGACAATTTTGAAAATAAAACACAAATGACTCCGTTCTGTTATTGTTGCTTTATAATGCACAATCTAGCACTAGATAATCCAGTGAATCAAGCGATGGATTTAGGAGGGGGTTCAGATACACACTATGTGTACTTCGGGGTTTAGTCCAGTTCATTTTCCTGGCTTTTATTAAGAATATGGAGAACAGAGCTAGACAAATGCCTCAAATGTCTAACTTAATGTGGGACAGTAGAAGACAGGTTTCAGGTCACTTACCTCCTGTGGTGTTTCCAAGCCTTCCTTAACAAAAAACCTAAATGTTCAGCAATTAAAAGCCATCATAGAGAATTCACTTTATGAAAAACTCTGGGATAGGGGAAACCCTATCCCAGAGTTTTTCATAAAGTGAATTCTCTATGATCTTGCTGCTATACAACTCAGGCAGCAATTACCACATAAGACAATTTGATTCTGCACCTAACTGTGTATACAAACTAATTCGAGAGAGATATACTGGCTGCCAAAGATGTCAAGCTAACTTAGAGGGCAAGAAACTGAATAAACATCAGGCTCAGAGTTTTGCCAAAGGTCACTTTTACTGCACAACATCATATCGGACCATTTTAGGTCAGTGGCAGAAATATCTTGCCCATCCATGACAACCATATGACACACACAAAAAAATATTATGCTTATGGACAAGAAAATAACACAGTAGGATATTTCAAAGAAAAGTACAAGAAGGTCAAGATGTCAAGAAGGATTTGGAGGAAGCCCATTTGGAGGAAGCTTTGCAGATCTTGGTATAAAGATCTTTTCAAGCACGGCAGGCAAGACGAAAAAAAATCTCTCTCTCAAGAGATATTTTCAATTTCTTCCTTGTTCTATTGATACACCATCTCTGTCTGGGTACATCAGTTTCAGCATAATATTACTGAAGTCGATTAAGAAGACCTTTCAGTAAAAAGAAATATATACTTAAAGAGTTTTTTTGGTCGTGATGGGGACAAAGTGTTTTCTTCTACAACATGATTGTTATATGTAAGATTTAGGGAAGCCACAGAGCTTTCACAATTGTCTTGTGCGCAAAAACTAGATTTGTAATGTGCTATCTGGTCATGATGCATGTGATGATGCAGCGCTGTTCACAAATAATATGGAAAAGTGAACCAAAACTCAAGGAAAAGATATAAAAAAGGGGAAGCAAAAGAATGAGTGTGCATTTACTAGAAATGATGCTTGTCATGGTTATCTTCTCATCCCCGCTGTGGGTAAGGGAGAGCTGTGGCTAACATACTCATGTACCTGGCATGCAGGTGACCCAAAAGCGATAGCCTGGTGGAGCACAAAATGAAGGTGGAGTGTTTCCACAAAGGAACTTTTTGTTGTTGTTGTTTTGATTTTTGTTTTTTAAACTAGGGGCAGGATGTTCAGTCACTAAATTCCTGGGGGAAAAAAAGAGCAAGACTGAGAAAAATCTCTACGCAGGTCATAAATCATAAATGTTTAGAGGTGACAATTCTGTTTTTAACTCTGAATTAAGTCTATACAGAATGATGAGAATAAAAATGAACTGTATCCTTTACTGCAATGCAAAAGGAAGTGGCCGGATATGGTAGCTATCCAAATGGTAAGAGGAGGATGGGGACAGCCTCTTTTCAGGTGTGGCCACTGATAGGACAAGAGGAAATGGCCACAAACTGAAGCACCAAAAGTTCTGCAGGAACTTAAGGGAAAATTTCTTAACAGTGAGGGTGACAGAGCCCTGGCACAGGCTGCCCAGAGAGGTTGTGGAGTCTCCTTCTCTGGAGATCTTTAAAACCCACTTGGACGCAGCCCTGTGCCACGTGCTCTAGGTGACCCTGCGTGTGCAGGGGAGTTGGACTAGATGATCTCTAGAGGTCCCTTCCAACCTTAGAGCTTCTGTGATTGTACGATTCTATGACATTCTGAAGAAGAAATGAAAAATCTAGAAAAGATATTTGTATCATTTCTAAGGGCTGCTTGCAGTATTTGAGGATTAAACAAACACCTCCAAAAAGCTTTAGTGAATACCCTACCCAAACATATCACAAATGTTGTGGAAGGTGAATAGTCAGTATTTCTAGGGAAGTTGTCAGGCAGCTTCTGTCAGAAAAATAACTGAAGCAGTGTTTATAACATTTGCACATTCTCCCATCTGTAGTTACAATTTTGGA